TCTTCTTTTTTGCCCAGAAATCTAGCTTCTGCGAGCCTTCAACCACACCTGCGGCAATTCCATCGCAGGTGTGAAATCACTTAAGGGGGACTGAGTCTGCATCTGCGCACTTTGAGCCGCAGGTGCTGCACCGCAGAAGCGGTTTTGACCCTGTCCAGCTGGGACCGCAGGTGCGGCCATAGATCCGCAGAAGCGGAAGTGAGCATCGCGTTCGCATGGTGTTTTACGCGTTCGCGATGAGAAAAATGCGTGGCCCAACTTTGGTCCACTTAACCCTACGCGAACGCGACCTTGTCTTTGCGTTCGCGAAGCACCACCTCACTTCACTACGCGTTCGCATGCCTCTGTCCGCGAACGCGAAGAACAATTCCATCCTCTCGTCAAGCTAGCTTACACGATCGCGGATCACCCCACGCGATCGAGTATAAGGAAACCAGAACTCAAACACCAGAAAACTTCAGCAACCTCCTAAGTCCAAAAATCGATCCGTTGGGCATCCGAAACACACCTGAGGCTCCCTGGACCTCAACTAAATATACCAACCAGTCCTAAATCACCATACTAACTTAGTCGAGCCCTCAAATCATATCAAACAACGCTAAAATCACGAATCACCCTTCAATTCATACTTAATGAACTTGAAACTTTAAATTTTCACAACCGATGCCGAAACCTATCAAATCCCGTCTGATTGATCCCAAATTTTGTACATAAGTCGTATTCAATATTACGGACCTACTACAACTTCCAGAATCAGAATTCGACCCCGATATCAAAAAGTTCACTACCGGTCAAAATCTCCAAAAATTTAACTTTTGCCAATTCAAGCCTAAATCAGCTACAGACCTCAAATTCACAGTCCGGACACGCCCCCAAGTCCATAATCACCCAACGGAGCTAACGAAACTGACAGAATTCCATTCTGAAGTCGTCTTCATACAGTTCTGACTACGGTCAAAATCCTAAGATTTAAGCTTCCGTTTTAGGGACTAAGTGTCCCAAAACACTCTGAAACCAAAAACAAAACCTCCGGACAAGTCACATAAGCAGAAAAAGATACGAAAAAATAGTAAATAGGGAATCAGGGCTATTACTCTCAAAACGACCGGCCAGATCAATACACTATTAAATTCATTGTTGTTTAGTACTATTTCATTTATGTACAATATGTTCTTTTGATGAATTCTTTTTTTGAAAGATTATCTTCCTCATTTCCGTATGCAGACTTAGAACTTCAACTCTAAGAATGCTAAAGTTCAGCAAATATAAACAAAAATTTCAGCTCCTAGAATGCTGAAGTTCAGCAAATACAAAACAAATTTCAGCCCTAGAATGCTGAAGTTCAGCAATTACAAAACAAACTTCAGCTCCTAGAATGCTGAAGTTCAGCAAATACAAAACAAATTTCAGCCCTAGAATGCTGAAGTTCAGCAATTACAAAACAAACTTCAGCTCCTAGAATGCTGAAGTTCAGCAAATACAAAACAAATTTCAGCCCTAGAATGCTGAAGTTCAGCAATTACAAAACAAACTTCAGCTCCTAGAATGCTCAAGTTCAGCAATTACAAAACAAAAACTTCAGCCAAAACATGATGTAGTTTTATTGAGCTGAAGTTTGCCATTGCACTATGAAATAAAGTTTGCGTGATTGCCTTTGCAAGTCAGGCCAAATTTCAGGCAAAAATATCTGAAGTTTTGCTACACTTCAGTCAAAACATTATGAAGTTCAAACTTCAGACATAAATTTTTGCTACTTCAGGCATGTATGTCTGAAGTTACCCGAAAAGTGGATACGCTTGCAATATTTTTTGCAAAGCGGGTATAAATTAAAAGTTAACCCAAAAATTGGGTATAGATGCAAATGCCCCATAAAATAGCAATATTATCATGATTGCTCTAAGCTTAGATACATTATTTCAAGAAAACTAAAAGCCTTGGTAAAGCTAACCTTTTTTATGTCCCACATTAATATATTTCTAGTTTAACTTTTAATATTTTGTTGTTTTTATTAGAATGTATTTTCACATCTTTGTACAAAAAAGTTACTTGAATAATGTTTGATTGAAGGGTAAAACTATCACTCAGTTTTTGATGGATNATATATATATTTACTAGTTCCTCTACATATGCGTTGCATGTGTAATTCATATAAGTTTTTTTTACAGGATATGTATACTAAAAATAGTTAAAGGTATACCTCAAAATGTTATAAATTACAAAAGTTAAAGATAACAAAAGTTAGCATTTTCTCTAACTTTAAACCTTCTACAAATAAAATCAAAGGCGTACTATCCGACCAACTCTATATCTATTCTTCCGGCCATCACACTATCTATCATGGTCAATGACATGAATAGAGTTCAAGGAAACGAAATAAATATGCACTGTATATATGTCATTGCAAAGTGAAGGATCTGAACTTAGCACATCATCGTTAAATATGTAAAAACTATGGGTGGTGCGAGGGTAATGCTAGTACTTTAGGCTCCTAAAATTTTGAGGCTCCAAAAAGTATTAATGGTCAAATAAATAATAATACTTTCACTTAGACAATATCGGAGTTTGTAAAAAAAAGTATAAAATATGTGCAAAAAAGAAGGAAAAAAACAAAGAATATCTGCTTTTTAATATTAGAAGTATCTTAGAACTTTAAATTAAACTACAATCTTCATATTAGCAAATAGATTTTCTTACAACAAAATCTAAGGTAATATATTACAAACACATGGCAAATATTTTATCAACATGAATTAACCCTTGATAATATAAATCTATATTATATTAAAAGCACGAAGGCGATTAACGAAATGTCGTTCGCCTTTTTTACCCTTTTAAAGTAGAGTTTATATTGTACAAAATAGTCATTTGATTATTTCTTTAAATATTTAAGAATAGTCATTTAATTAACTCCCTACTATTTAGGAATAGCCATTAATTATTTTTCTAAAATTTTAAAATTCGATTTTAATTTCCCTTTAGTTCTAGAATTTCAAACTAGGAAAGTCTCGTAGGAGTTTTTTTGGGTCATATGGTAGAACTACTAATCGTCACCTTCTACTCCAATATAGTTAGGAGTATTAAATTTATCTTTTTATGTTTACGAAGAGTATTAAATTTTATACCATGAACAATTTACACTAGAAAAGTTTCTATTTAAACTTTCCTTCTTTGACATATAAATTAATTACTAATATATTTGATTTTAGAATTAATATATTGGATTTTTTGTTATTTGAACTATGTAACATGATTATTATTCTTTTTATGTTACTAAACTTCCTAAATCTTTTAAGTCTTATTAGGTAAAAAAATACATAGGGCATCTTTGAAAAACTCATGAGGCATCCTGCTACAATAATATGAATTTACGTGGATTTCATATTTAAAAACTCTTTAGTAAAAATGTCGTCCGTTCTATCCTTTAAAAATAGATTTCATATTAGACAAAATTATCATTTGATTTACTTTTCTAATATTTAGAACATGAAATAAATTAGAATTTTTACTCATTAAATATTTTTCTTGTTTGAACTAAGTAGAAATCCTTATATTTAGAACTTTAAACAAAAAAAATTATACCTTCTATAAATATTAAACTTAAATTATGACTAAATATACCAAAATTTTTTGCCGTGAGTTGTCTCTAATTGCACAATTTTTAATCTCAAAATAAATCGTTTCATTGTGCTAATTTTTAGGTGAACAATAATATTAAATTAAAAAGGTATTAAATATATTAGAGAAACAGGGAACATTTTACTTTGTTCTTTATCCCGATTCAACAACTCCCTTTTAAATTCTATGAGTAGTCATGTGAGATTGCACTGGCTATTCGTTTTATTCTTTGATCATTATTTTGCTTAAATATAAATATTACTATAGATTTAAAAATATAATTAAAAAAAATAGTTACAAAATTATCTAATAATAAAGAGAGAGAGAGAGAGAGAGAGAGAGAGAGAGAGAGAGAGAGAGAGAGAATAATTGGAATAATTCAATAACACAAACGCTTCGGCAAACATAAAGTGCAAAATTTTAATATTTTACCGCTTGAAAACAGAATTTGTTGTGGATAAAAGTATAATTATTATTAAATATCTAAATTTTGATTTGAGCTAATATTAAGAATTTGCATCCTCAAAAAATAAGTATTTTTTAATGCTGAGAATAAATGATTAAGTGTTTGGATTAACTAATTAAAAAAATATTTGAATGAATTAATTAGCAAAATAATCCAATTTCATTCTTTTTCCAAATTCGTCTTATAAGTAAAATAATTTTTCAAGTTGACATAAATATTAAAATACATAAATTTGTTTTCATAAAATACTATCAGCGATGAAAGAAACCAAAAGATAGAGCAAAATCCGCTATAATATAATACTAAAAACTAAATTAGCTAAAATGTAAACTTAAATAAATAAGAATGAAATAATATAAAATCAAATGTATCATGAAGAGATGTCAGGCNATATATATATATATAACACTATACACACGTGCAACGCACGTACACTTAAAGCTAGTAATAATATTACTTGTGAGCACGTAATTTTTGCCCTATGTTAATACTCCTAAAATAGTCCAAAATAATTTTAATTATTTTTATGGAATTTTGGGAGTCTCTTCTCTATTTTATTTTGGGTTTTTTTGGCATTTAGTTGCAACTCTCTTAATTAGAAATATATTTAAATGATGAAAAAGACAAAAAATATTTTATCTTTCATCTTTTACATTTTTAGACTTTACTTGCATTTTTAGCATCTAATTGCATAAAATTGCACCCCTAAAACACAAAATCACAAAAATGCTTTAATTATTTTTACCTTTATGTTTTTAGGTTTAATTGATTAGTTAAATGGTTAATTTTTGGCCAAGTAATTTAAAAGGGCTGATTGTGTAAAATAGGAGCAATTAGAGTAATATATATGTAAAAGTGGCCATTTGAACAAATACAAAAGCAAAGGAGAAGAGGTCCGCCCATGCTATGGCTGAACTTTAGACGGCCCGGTTACTTTAATCCACGCCCGCCCCAGTCCACTGCTTTACCCGGTCCAGTTTCCCTTTGAGGCTTAGAGTATTGAAACGACGTTGTATGTAGTTAAAACTACGTCGTTCCCCCCCGGTTAAACGACCCCCATCCCCTTCTCTCTCTATCCGCCACCCAACTCCGCCGTCCGGGAATCGCCTTCCGGTGGCAGAACACCTCCAAACAGACTCAAAATATCACCCCACACACGCTCATTTCTCACCTCACTCTGATTTGGAGAACCCACTCACTCTCACGCTCAGAGGGAGGCTGAAATTAACTCTCTCACACTCATTCAAAAGGAAACGTTTCAGATCGAGATCAGAAGAGGAGAGCCTCAGATGCACGAAATTTGTTTGAAAAAAAAAGAGACTTCGAAGAGTTTTTTTTTTGAGTTCAGTTGATTTAGTTATACAATAGCTGGGTTTTCAAAGTTGAATCAAGCTTTCGAAGGGCTATTTTATTGCTGATTACTTGATGGGATTGCAGCTGTACTTCTTCCTCTTTCATCATTGTATTTCTCTCTGTTTTTGTTCCCTAAGGTACGGTTCGATTCTCTTAGAGTTATCCAGATTTGAATCAATGAAATAAATGACATGATTATAATTGTTCGTTGTTTTATGCGAAGTTGAAAATGCTGTCGTGATGTTCTGAATTATGTCCTATAAGCATGTGGAATTTGTCCCTCAAATCTCAATTCATGAAACATGAAGTAGCTTTCGATTATGTGTTTGATTGAAATAAGTGTATTGGATTTGAAGTTGATTTGCAGCTTTTGAAATTCAAACGAGTGCTCTTCAGGAAAATAGCTTCAAACAGATGTATTTGGGTTGTAGATTAGCTAAACTAATGCTCTAACCCTCCTTAGAGGAAGGACTCGTTAATGTTTCCTTCAAATCAGTGATTTAATGGTTCATATCCTGTTACATGAATTTATTTTCCATTTGAAGAACCTGTGTAACGACCCGATCGGTCGTTTTGCTTTCTAGATTCTCGTTCCCCTAAATAAGACCCCGTATATGCTTTTACTGTTTCATGACTTGTGGGAATGGTTAGTTCGGGTTTGGAAGGGTTCGGGTTGAAATCAGAACACTTAGTTCCTTAATATTGGCTTTAAAGGGTAATTTTGACTTGGGTCAGCATTTCTAGTAAATGACCTCGGAATCGGGATTCGACGGTCCCAATAGGTTAGTGTGATGATTTTGGACTTGAGCGTATATTCGAATCGGTTTTTGGATGACCTGGGTTTTAAAGTTCTTTAAATTTGGTTTGAAGTAGGTTTTGGTGTCATCGACGTATGTTTGGGATTCCGAGCCCGAGAATAGTTCCATATAATGATTCAACATTTGCACGCAAAATTTGGTGTCATTCCGAGTAGTTTAAGTATGATTCGGCGCCTTCGTAGCGAATTAGAAGAACTTGAAGTTCATAAGTTGATTCGATTTGGTTTGGAGTATGATTCTTAGTTTTGGTGTTGTTTTTCGTATTTCGTGAGATCGAGCAGGTCCGTTTTATGATTTCGAACTCGTTGGTATGTTTGGACGAGGCCTCGGGAGCCCCGGATGCCATTCAGACGATGCGCAGAACTCGTTTGGACTTGGAGAGATGGCTGAAACAGCAGAGCTTCTGGTGCAATTGCAATTGCGAGGAGCGAGCTCGCAGGTGCGAGCGTGTGGCCGCAAAAGCGGTTTTGGGCGAGTTGGCTGTGGCTCGCAGAAGCGGCCTCGCTTCTGCGAGGGAAGGGCCGCAAGTGCGAAGAGGGCCGGCCAGGCCTGGTCCGCGATATATTCTGATTGTATGGCAGCAATAAAGCGGTATCAAATACAAGGAAGATGGATATCTATATTCTGGAAACATCTCTTCAGATTGAATATATCTTCCTTGTCATTTTAATCTCACTAATTGATGTGATTATATTTTTCAAATAATCGAGTCTGTGTATCTTAATCTTCACCTTACACTTTAAGCTGAAAAAGTACTAACTTTATTAAGCTGCCATGTGCTGATGTTTGAACTTTGAAAGAACCACTTTATCTTTCCTTTGTAGGTAGACAAGGAAACCGAAAGAGTCCTACTCTTGTACTGTAGCCAGCTATTGTCTATCCAGAAAGATTAATTCTCCATAATGTTCTACTGGAACAAGAGGGTGGTAATTGAATAAGTTCTCGTAGTTGTGACCATCATGTAGCTATGAACTTTTGCAACAAACTTTACATTTGTGAGAGACAGTTTAAGAACAAGAATTGAAGCAGTTAATTTAGCGTCTCTCCAGTTACAGAAGTAAAGATTTGCTATCACTGCTACTTAACATTGACCTTGACAGAAAAATAGTATAGTAGAAAGTTTTCAAGTAACTGTATGGGGATGCTATTCTTGGTCCCCTAGTGAAAGCTATTAGATGATCTATACAAAAGTGATGTTTTATACTTCAATGCTAAGAGGGGGTGATTTGTGTGGTGTCCAATTTTCGCGTGCACTGTTTATAGAAGGACCTGATTCTTCTATGTGTTCCTTATACTACTGTTGCGGAAATAGTAAATGCGAAAAGTAAAGAACACAAGTATTTTTACATGGAAAACACCGGACTCAAAAGGTGAAAAACCAAGACCTACTACTCAGTAGGATTTTTTCCAACACTTCATTAAATCACTGAGCTAAAATAACATTTATAAAACTCTTTGTAAACATAAGGATTACTTCTAATCCCATTGTAGCAACCAGCCTCTAATTGTTGCGACAACTTCAAGTTAACTTTAACTTGAATACTCAGAGTACCTAATACAATTGCCTCTAGATAAAGCTGAAAGGTACAATTTGAAAACACCTACTACAATGAAACTAGAATAAAAGACAGACACTTGGAACTAGTTCTTCTATCTGGTTCATGTAACTTCATGTTTGCACACTTGAATCACACAAGAATTGTTTGCAAAATGCCTTGCTATTTTTCTCTCAACTCAAGTTTAACTTTAGCGTTTGTACGTACCTGTAGAATGAGAACATCCTGCAATTTATAGAGTTAGTAGAATAAGAAAAAACTAGAGTTCTAATGCTATACTCTTCCATGGTGGAAGAGTTCTAGTTATCTTCAACTTCTAACTCCTCTATTATCTTGAATAAAGTTCTATTCGAGTAAGGAGTCCTCCTTATCATTTATGCAAACTTTTCGATCAGAAGATATAAGATATAACAACTTAAACTTATCTCCTTCACGTGCATCCCTTATGCTTGAATCTATCCGTGTCTGTGTACACTGTGTATGCATCTGGTTCATGTTTGAGTTCCTTTGTCATTACTAAACTGCTCGAGGAACTCACGAAACGAGTCGAAGCCAACGACAAGAGGGTGGTACCATCGAGTGATAAAAGGGCTTGATTCAAAAAAATTCATACAAAAGCCTTTTCCATCGAGTGCGGCACCGAAGCCAATCCCCAAAAAGTTCCGTATGCCCGAAATTCTCAAATACAACGGTACGACCGATCCTAACGAACATGTCACCTCTTACATGTATGCCATAAAAGGCAACGATTTGGAAGATGACGAGATTGAATCCGTGCTATTGAAAAAGTTCGGGGAGACCCTCTCGAAAGGAGCTATGATTTGGTACCACAATTTACCACCAAATTCCATCGATTCTTTTGCCATGTTGGCAGATTCGTTCGTAAAAGCACATGCTGGTGCCATAAAGGTCGCAACGAGAAAATCAGACCTCTTCAAAGTAAAGCAAAGGCAGGGAGAAATGCTGAGGGAATTCGTATCCCGATTTCAAATGGAACGCATGGAATTACCCCCGGTCATCGACGACTGGGCCGTACAAGCTTTCACCCAAGGATTGAACGAGCTAAGTTCGACAGCATCACATCGGCTGAAGCAAAATTTGATCGAGTACCCGGCGGTAACTTGGGCAGATGTACATAACCGATATCAATCGAAAATTAGGGTCGAGGACGATCAGTCGGGGACCCCGTACGGACCTGTTCATCAGAACAGGACAGTTATTAATCAAAAGCAGATCGACAGAGAACAAAGGTCAAATAGAGACCGATATCGACCATATATCACCGATCGGGTAAACAATGGTTCAACACGCAACGCAGTTCAGAACAGTCAAAGAATTGATCAGGGACAAAATTCTCGGGGGCTTATGAGTAAGAGCGGCTTCGACAAACATGCCGAACCTATAGAAGCACCTCGATTATCAGAGTATAACTTCAGCGTTGGCGCATCCGCTCTCGTATCGGCCATCGGACGCATCGAAGACACTAAATGGCCCCGACCAATGCAAACCAATCCTGTCCGGAGAAATCCCAATCAAACGTGTGAATACCATGGAACCCATGGCCACAGAACGGAAGATTGCAAGCAACTAAGAGAGGAAATAGGTCGCCTATTTAACAAAGGGCACCTTCGGGAGTTTCTGATTGATAGAGCAAAGAGCCATTTTAGAAGTAGGGATGTCAGCAAGTAGAACGAGCAAGAAGAACCACAACACATTATCCACATAATCATCGGCGGCACCGATACCCCCCGGGGACCGATGCTTAAGCGCACTAAAACATCGATGGTGAGGGAAAAGCGATCTCGGACTCAAGAGTACGCACCCATGGGGACTTTGTCCTTTGGTGATAAAGATGCAGAAGGGGTCATCCAACCTCACAATGACGCCCTGGTAATATCCGTACTCGTAAATAAAACTAAGATTAAGCGTGTGTTGATCGATCCAGGTAGCTCGGCCAATATCATCCGATTAAAGGTAGTAGAGCAGCTTGGCCTGCAGGATCGAATCGTGCTTGCAACTCTGGTCCTAAACGGGTTCAATATGGCATGCGAAACCACCAAAGGGGAGATAGCCTTGCCAATAAATGTGGCCGGAACTGTCCAGGAAACAAAGTTTCACGTGATCGAAGGCGATATGAGGTATAACGCCCTTTTCGGAAGGCCATGGATCCAAACATGAGAGCCGTGCCTTCGACCCTGCACCAGGTCCTCAAATTTCCGGCGTCGGGAGAAGTCAAAACGGTATACGGAGAGCAGCCAGCCGCAAAAGAAATATTCGCCGTCGATGAAGCCAAACCAATGTCCTCACTTTCGCCGATAAAGGGCCCGGGCCCGGAAGGAGAACGGGACACCAAATAGCAATCACAGACAGTGACTGCAACCCAGCCTGACAACCAGAAAGTCGAAGAGAATGAAGACCAAAGGGTCCCTCGATCTTTCGTAACTCCTGATGACTCCGATGCCACAAAATCAACAATCGAGGAGCTAGAACAAGTTGTATTAATCGAGCGCCGACCCGAGCAAAATGTATACTTGGGAACGGGGCTGAGCCCTGAACTCAGGAAGAAACTCGTTCAATTTCTTATCAATATCATCGATTATTTCGCCTGGTCCCATTTAGATATAACAGGGATCCCGCCGGACATAACGACGCATCAGCTAAGTTTGGACCATCGGTTCAGACCGGTGAAGCAAAAAAGAAGACCCCAGTCCGATAGAAAGAACACCTTCATAAAGGACGAGGTAACCAAACTTCTCAAAATAGGGTCCATTCGAGAGGTAAAATACCCCGAATGGTTAGCCAACGTAGTCGTAGTCCCTAAAAAAGGAGATAAACTTAGGATGTGCGTGAACTATAAGGATTTGAACAAAGTATGCCCCAAGGATTCTTTTCCATTGCCCAACATCGATCGCATGATCGATGCCATGGCCGGCCACGAGATCCTCACTTTTCTCGATGCCTATTCCGGGTATAATCAAATACAGATGAACCCGGAGGACCAGGAGAAAACCTCGTTTGTCACCAAATATGGGACGTATTGTTATAATGTGATGCCCTTCGGGCTAAAAAATGCAGGGGCCACTTACCAACGCCTAGTGAATAAAATGTTCGAAGAACAAATAGGAAAATCAATGGAGGTTTATATTGATGACATGTTAGTCAAATCCCTACGCGTAGAGGACCATTTAATTCATTTGCAGGAAACGTTCAAGATTCTGAGGAAATACAAAATGAAGCTCAACCCCGAAAAATGTGCCTTCGGTGTCGGTTCGGGCAAGTTCCTCAGCTTCATAGTATCACATCGGGGAATAGAGATTAACCCCGATAAAATCAAGGCTGTTGAAGACATCACCATCGTAGACAGCATAAAGGTCGTGCAAAGACTAACGGGTCGGATCTCCGCCCTAAGCCGATTCATATCGAGGTCATCCGATCGAAGTCATAAATTTTTTTCTCTACTCAAAAAGAAGAACGATTTTTCGTGGACCCCGGAGTGCCAACAAGCTTTAGAAGGACTAAAATGATATATGTCAAGCGCATCACTGCTTCACACTCCAAAAACCGATGAGAAACTTTGCTTGTACCTAGCAGTGTCGGAAGTCGCCATAAGCGGTGTCCTGGTTCGAGAAGAGCAAGGTACGCAATTCCTAGTTTATTATACAAGTCGAATCTTAGGAGAGGCGGAAACTAGATATCCGCTCCTTGAAAAGTTGGCGCTTGCACTAATAAGCGCCTCGAGGAAGTTAAGGCTGTATTTCCAATGTCATCCCATATGCGTATTGTCTACTTACCCGCTTCGTAATATTTTGCACAAACCCGAGTTATCAGGCCGGCTGGCCAAATAGGCCGTCGAACTCAGTGGGTACGATATCGAATATCGACCCCGTACGGCCATCAAGTCTCAAGTCCTAGCAGACTTCGTGGCCGATTTCACACCAGCCCTCATACCCGAAGCCGAAAAAGAACTGTTGAACTCAGGTACATCATCGGGGGTATGGGTCCTTTTTACAGATGGGGCTTCAAACGTAAAAGGGTCCGAGCTGGGCATAGTTTTGAAACCACCCATGGGTGGCATTATTAGACAATCTATTACGAAGCCGTGATTGCATGTCTCGAGCTAGCTAGAAATTTAGGAGCAGAAATCATTGAAGCCGACTGCGATTCCTTGCTGGTGGTGAGTCAAGTAAACAAAACTAACAAAAAAGGGAAAAA